AAGATTAAAAGTTTTGTGGAAATCGAAAAATTGATAAGAAAACAAACATGTCTCGTCTAATTATTTAAAATTGAAGTGATTGTAGGTAAAATAAAACCGAGGAATTCAAAAATTGTAAAAACTAAAACGGCGAGAAGGAGGGAGTTTATAAGATTGCTAGTTTTCGACAATTTCATTAGTTACTTGTTAGTGAAGTGGAAGCTGAACTCGCGACAAAATCGGTTAAGCTATCATTTTTTAGCGACAAATTATGTCATAAAAGTATCTTTTTTCCACTATTTTTGTCAGTGTTAGTTCGCTGGATAGCTCGAAACTGGACTTGTGACAAAATCTGCTATAAGCGACAAATTATGTTTTTACATTGTTTTTACATGCTATTTCTGTTTCAGAATATGCTATATCTAGTGACAGGTTGACAAATCTTGAGCCATTAAACTAAACTAGAGACAAAATCAGCTATAAGTGACATATTATGTTTTTACATTAATTTTCCACGCTTATTCTGTTTCAAGATATACTACGTATATCTAGTGTTAGGTAGACAAATCTTGAGTCATTAAACTAAACTAGCGACAAAATCAGCTATAAGCGACAAATTATGTTTTTACATTGTTTTTCCACACTATTTCTGTTTCAAGATATGCTATATCTAGTGCCAGATTGACAAATCTTGAGTCATTAAACTAAACTAGCGATAAAATCAGCTATAAGCGACAAATTATGTTTTTACATTGTTTTTTCACGCTTTCTGTTTCAAGATATGCTATATCTAGTGCCAGGTTGACAAATCTAGAGTCATTCAACTAAACCAGCGACAAAATCAGCTATAAGCGACAAATTATGTTTTTACATTGTTTTTTCACGCTTTCTGTTTCAAGATATCTATGCTACATCTCGTGTTAGGTTGACAAATATTGAGTCATTAAACTAAACTAGCGACAAAATCAGCTAAGGTACTATTTTTCAACGACAAATTATGTTCTAACTGTACTTTCCTAGGCTATTTCTGTTTCGAGATACGCGATATGTAGTTCTAAACTAATGCCGCGCCAGCATTTCGTCTATTATTTGTCAGTGATTGACTGAAACGACAAATTTTGTGTATTTTAGAAATGAGAAATATAACTTTGTCAGAGACACTGCTCTTTTGCTTTCAATTTTATTTCATACACAGGACAGTAAATATTACCAACTTTTTTTTGTTATTTCTAAATCGTTTTATGACTTGTTCTATTCCACATGGGTTTTCAACCCCCATATGCGACGATCGGCAGGTAGATCCTAGACACAACGAAAGTAAGTCTGATTATGAGAAGTCGGCTACGGTTGGAAAATCATAGTTGTATTTTATAATACAATCAACACACATGTTTTTATGTGTGTGTGCTTGTTGGGGCAGAAGCTAACGGAACGACTTGTAAAATTGTACGTGTGTGATATTATAAAGCGGGGGCACGTGCCGCTTACCAGATGACTCGGCTAGGATACCGTTCCCGATTATTCTTGCTTTATATCAGACAATGATCGGCTAAGAGTGCTAATTCATCCGACCTCTTTTACCTTCCGTCCGGCCGAGACGACAGTCGAACCGAAACAGATTTCACTTTTTAATTTACGCTTTCGATGAAAAGGCAGAAGTGGTGCAGTTTAATGTGCCACTTTTAATTGGGGGTGAAAAACAATGGAAAAGGGGCTGTATATAAAGAATTACTTAGATATGTTCGTATCACACATTAATATGCGTCCTTTCAAACTATTGACTAGTAAAATTTTAGTAGAAAACTAAACAGTATCTTTTCTAAATTGATTTACCTTCAGTTGTTTGAGAATTGATGATAAAATATACACTTCATTTTTAAAACATTTTAATGAATCGAAAAGGCTACCATTTCTCTTACAGGACTAGTTTAACTGTTGGAAAAATGTTCTAGATTATCCGTTTTAAAATCCTTTCACGTTCAGGCTTTGTTGCTTTATAAGAAAAAAACAAAAAGATTAACACCACCGCACTTTCATGTCAGATGCAGATTTATTTTGAAATCTAAAAAAAGAAGATACAACAATGTTGATTCGACATCATCATCATCATAGGATCGTCAGTCCTAAGACGGGTTGGATACGCACCTTCACTCTTTCTTATCCTGAGCTAATCTTCGCATTTCCCTAAATCTAGAACAATCCACATCGTGAACTATTTACGAACAGTAATCTAATCTAGGTCTACCTCTACCCCTCCTAACTCCCGTTTTTGCCTCTAATATGTCTCTGACTAGAACCTCATGCGTGTGAAGGTGTCCTACCAACCTATCTCGCCTATTTTTTATTGAGTCCTCTGTTCTCCTATTCTTTCTAATACCTCTTCATTTCTAACCTTCTCTATCCACAATATCCTCATCATTCACCTGTAACACCACATTTCGAAAGGTTCTAACTTTTTCTTTTCCACCGCGTCTACTATTCATGTTTCGCACTCATACAGCACCGCGCTCCAAATATACACCTTTAACAGCCCTTTTCGAATTTCTAAATTAATCGTTCGCGAGCATAGAAGTGATTACATTATTTAATTTAATTACTCTAGAGTAAAGGTAATACATTTATATAGATAATTGGTACCTATGACGTTATTGGCAAGCAGGAAAAAGAAACCCAGGAAGATCTCCAAAGAAGCGAACCGATGATCAACTTCCTTCAGCTTTTGGATGGTCTGTATCACCTTTCTGATTAAGTTCTTACTGTTGGCGTTGAAATCGCCTTCTTTTTCTAAATGTTAGATCGAAGACAAATGATTTGATTCTGACATTTGATGACTGCGTACCTATACTGGTTGGTGAAAATTAAATTTTGCTGTTGGTCGCAATAGTGAAACGTCGCTTTTATGTGAACTCCATGATTATGAGGATTTTTTTTAATATGTCGACAGCAGTTGGCACGTGTTTTATGTTTAATATATTTCTCATCACAGGTTGCTCAGGTAATTTTATAAAGATACTTTGTAAGATTCAAGTTTGATAAGGTACCATAATAACAGGCGCGTTTAAAATTTATAGCCTCATCGAAAATTACCTTTATGGTAGAGATTCTTAATTAAAGTACCATTTGTCCAACGGCGATTAATAACATGTAGGCATCTTTCTCTACGTATAGTATGCGTTTAGTAAAAATTAGTAAATTTTTACATCAACAAGTAGCACGTATTGCTAGTGAATTTGCATTTCTTTGAGACAATTACAAATTAATATCTACGACAATTACTTATCAATGTCTAAAATCTAGGTAGCTAAAGTGTTTAAACCTTCTATAAGATTCAAGAAATCACAAAAGTAGATACCTACATTGTGGTACAACAAATACTACTATATGTAAATAATTTTCCGTTTTCTTAATCGCTATGAAATTTAAGTCTTAAGTTTCCGTGAACAAGAAAACTACAACCATTTTTCTTTAGTGAAGAATAAAAATGATTTTTAATGCGATAACGCTAAACATTTCATTTGCTCGTATGTCCAGGACTGTAATTGACGTCATAGACGTCCAGCAAACGAAAACGGTGACAAAGAAACCATTAAATAAATTTATCGAATCAGTTTAAGTCTTTTTTGTAATTTATTTCCCTTTAGCTTGATTAAAACATAAACAATTCACACAAAACATTCAATGTATGGGGGTAGTTGGTGGAGTGTTGCAAGTGATGGGAATGTGTCTAAGTGGTAGGTGCACGTATTGGATGAGCGCGTACTTGTATACACCTATACAATACATCCGTACGTATAGGTAGTATATTATGACGATGGGGGATGATGGCATGGCACGCGGCAGGTCACGGAGGGTGAGTTAGAAGAGTCATGTGTTGTTTGGTCCTCAACGGTCTTCTGTTATCAAATTACAATCAGAAGCCGATTGGTTCGTTACCTTAGTCAGGTATTATTCCTTTCTATGGCATCGTAAGCTTTAATACAATTACGAAAATGATTTTATTCAACACCGAACAAATTTAATGTCTATTAGTAATTCCGATTGACAATCTTTACCTTTTTTATTCGTCGACGCATTTTATTGTATAGATATAGATAAATGTTGTCTAGCAATTTAATCAATTGTGATGAATTGAAACGATTGGATTGTCTTTAAATTGATTAATATAAATGGTCTTCAAGGAACGCGATAAACGACATGTTTTATTATTGAAAGGGGTGGAAATGTTACCAAATATTGAAGCCATTGTTACTAACAGACGCTTCTTTACATTAGTAACTTTAAAATAATTAATAATTATCTCCTTTTCCTTCTTTTGCGAAAAAAGTAGTAGAGCATTTTGAATTAATGGAAGAAATGTATCAAAATGGCAGTGAATATCTGTAGAAGACTATGAATAAATCTTTCTGTGAAGTTGGCAGAGACGAAACGTCTAGAATTTTTCTTGTTTCTAATAAACTAATGTAACAGTTATCTGATACAAGCGATGTCAATAGAAATTGATGCATTTAAAAGGGTAATACCCTATTATCCATATGAATTAGTAATTTGAATGTACCATGTAAAATGTGCAAATATCTTAAGGAGTGTAAAAACTTCTACAATCAAGACATCAAACGATTCTTGACTTGAAATCGGTTTTACCGAATCCTTGCCGATACTCAACGTAAAGAGAATCCTGCCGCTAAGATTTTCCGTTCGAGGACAACTTCACAGGAGTTCAAATGTCGTCCTCTTAGCCAATACCAAATCTAATCAAGTATTTTGAGAAACTTTCATTGATTTTCTTATTTAAATTGTATTTTTATTTCCGGTTGTCATAATTACTTCGGATAGGAGCTAAATCCTTTAGTTTGTAGTTCCAAAGCTTTTAAATGAATTTCACTGAGGTTTAATAAAGCGAAATTAATTAGGTAATCGGCTTTTATTTCTTAAAAAAAGCGAATGGTGTGTATACAATTTATTTATAGATAACAAGGAAACCTTATCAGTGATGACTTCTTGAACGTGTACAGATATTTATTTTCGATTTATATCTTTTGCGAAGTCGTATAGTGGGAAACCTTAGCTCAAACATAATAAAATCGACATTCCTGTTACGGTAAAGAGTCAATCTAATCAAATTAGGATTAAACCAGATCCTTAATACGCTTTTCATTAAGCAAAAATCTCCAATGAAACAGTTTGCGTCACAAAACCACGCCTGTTAATTTATCTAAACCAATCGTATTGTTGTACAGGTGAAAAGGAGGCGAGATCAAACAACACACACAAGCATCAACCATTTACCTGTTCAATACTTGAGGCCAGCAAGTTGCTTGCCGAAGAAGAGGGACTCAACACCACCACAAAGCTTCGACCTCTACAGCGCTCCCCATCAGTCAGGTGCAAAAGCTCTCTGGGCTTCGACTTCTTCTGCCGTGTCTTTGCGAACCGTTCAAATTACTTTTTTGAATACAACTGTTGTAAAGTGTAGTTCTTTTGGACAATGTGAAAAAAAAAGCGAAAACTAATACCATTAGAGGGTGTTATTTTATTTGGAATTACCAACAGCAGTATCTTATCATGATGACATCAGCGAAGAAATCCTGACGCTCTTGACGGTTCCTTCGCTGAGAATTCTTGAAGGTAAGGATTTAACTTAAAATTTTACATCCTTGTGTAGGTAAATACAATTGTCCTTACTTTTTCACTTATTCAAAGTGCGATGAAAGTTCTGTGTCTCTCTTGATGAAGACATTGCATTTTCTTGTTCAATAAAAGCTTTGCTTTTCCTCTTTGGCTCACAGGAGAGTTACAATCAACTACTTCAGAAATGTTTTTTTCTGAACTAAAAAAGCGATTCTTTTAGAAAATTGAGTAGATTTTCGTCTTTATATGAATGATTCTGTGAAAATTGCTTGGTATAATGTGTTTAATCAACCAAAGCTGTTTTTCTGACTTAAGCATGAGTTTCATATATTTAAAATACGAATAGACATATTTCGGAAAATTACATTAAATATTGTGTTACACTATCTGCAAAAAAAAAGATATGCAGATAAACAATAAATCTAGTCGTTAACTGAAGCTGTTATCTGATTTATTTGAAACAATGATTGCTAGTTTACATAGTTTTCAAAATTCCAATTTTCATAATTTTATATGTTTTTCAGCGGATTATTTAAAAAAAAAATTGAATCCCTGTCAGTACAGTAGCAACCACTTAGTTTGTATTAGCTTTTTTTTGAGAAGAGACCTAGATATATTTTATGCTTTACATTTTAATCATACAATATAGAACATAGACGGTAAGCTTTTCGTTTTAACATACTAATGGAGCTTTAACAGCATGAAGACGCTCTTTTATGTCTATTTTTAGGAGAGCTTTTGAAGGTAGTGACTTCTATGATTGTTGCTACTTAATGCTGTAGGGTTTTTTAAATATGTAAACGTATAATCACATTATTTTTGCAAAATCATACTAAAAAAATCAATCAATTGCATAACGATATCGCGTTGATTACGTTTCTAACATCAATTAAATAAAAGTACCTACCAACAAAACGCATTCGCTAAATTGCCATGTGTATTGAACAACAAATCTGTCGGTGTAAAAACTTGATGTGACAACAATCATACAATAATTACTGTAATCATTATGGAAAGTCACTGCTGCGATTCAGTGAATACTTTTAAAGGTCAGGGTGGTGAATATGCAGCTTTTTTTTCAAGTATCACTATTTAATAGTAGCAGTGAAGCAGTTTACATAATAACCGAGCGTAAACTTGGTCATAAGGTCGTAATAAAATGACCCCTAATTATCATAGATTAAAAGTTTTAAGGTAGTGAAACAGGTATAATAAACGTGTAATATAAAATAACTGGAACATTAAATCGTTGAGATAAAATTAGCGTTTGCTCACAGGTAGGTGTATAGATATACTGTGGGTACCTACAGCAGGTGTTTTGTTAATTAATGTTTTTTAATTAACATCTTCATAAAACGTTAAACTTAGTTTTTACGTGCTAAACTGCTACTGCATCGCAGAGTAAAAACATTAAAAAACAATTAAAAATCATTCAATATTTATAATGACAGTTTCTAGCGTTTGTTAATTTATCTTCAGTTTAAAATATAAAGTATAGATGTATGAATTTATTTCTAGTGAATTACAGAATAATTTAAACAACAAACTCTCTCTTATCGAAAGTAGTAAATTAGGAAACTCAATAATTATAATATTTAACTCAATAAAAATCTTTATTTTTCTCATTTGATTAACTTCAGATTAGGACAAAAATCGATTCTATTCACTGTTAAAAATGATAAAAATATATTTTTGATTCAAAAATCCTGTAATCTATTTACAGTCGGTTGAGTCATGGAAATTATAAACAAGGATTTTATTATTTTTCGATAATAAAATATTGCATGTTTTTCCTAATTGTGTTATTTAAGCATGCTAACTTTTCAATTATTTGTGATAATGTTTATTATTAGTTTTCATAAATAACTATAAATGAACGAAACGAACTATAAGTAAAACAAATTCCTGCATACAATAACAAATAAAAATATCTTTCTACAAGGATAACTGAAACATTTACGCACTGATTACTTCCTTGTACTATCATTTTGTGTAATATGTGAAGGTAACATCCACTTGTTAAAAATATAAGCAAAAACTAAATGTATTTACACTATAAAAGGATTTAGTTGACATTTAAGAAAGAAGAAATTGCAATGCTTACACAAATTACCCATAATTACAACAAATACAATTATTTATAATGTTGTTTTGATTTGTAGACTTATAGGTAGATTTGTATAATTTAAAACTGCTAGAATATACATTGAAAAAAATTATCTTCACCTATCATCTTCTTATAATTAGTTCTTATTCATCCCTTTTGTATACTACGTTTTGCTATCATACTAACGTATCAAGAAGCTATAAAATGATACTCGCAACAAAGTTATAGGAGTCGATAATATTGGCTAAGATGACATTTTAGCAATATAACATATTATATTATAAGTTGGTTGTTTATCTTAAGTAAGAAAATTAATATAAAAGAATATAAAATCTATGACTGATGGTAACTAGCCGGAACAAAAGGCACTTAAGCACTAGTAATATATGCATTAAAATATAATGAAAGTACAAATAGGATGTTGAAAATGTAATTTGCAGAACCGAGTTTTGATAGCGATACGAGTTCGTGTGTAACCGTTATAGCGGCTGGCGCTTCTTCTGGCATTATTTGAAAGTTTTATTGGTAATCCATAAGAAATTTGTGTAATTTTTGTCGATTGATTTTGCAGATGCCTCGGCTAGAGTATCTATCTCAGTATGTGGGGTCTTCTACATCTCCTTCGCGATCACCACCCACCTCGCCATCAACTAGTCCTATGCCAGGTGTATCATCGGGGGCTATAAGTCCTTTCTCCACGAAGTCGCGATGCAGCGCATTTTCTTTAGTTTATCCAAAGCAGATACATGCCAAAGGTCTTCAATCAGCGAGAGGTTAGAATAATATTTTGAATTTTCCGTGGGTGCAAGTCCAGTACAAGGGGTTAGAGACAAAATAAAGGCTAGATTACACATACAGTTCCGCGTCCGCGCCGTGCCCGTGCCGTTCGGGAATCATATAGTTCCGCCGACATTCATATGCATTGTTCCGTGCGATACATTCACATAATAATTGCTGATGTCAATTTGTGCATGATCAGTAATATTTATTAATTAATGAGTCAATTGTTACTAGACATTTGCATATGTACAACAATAAATAAAGAAAATACTGTAGGTAGTAAATGCGGTCATAGGGACTAATATCAGAACCATCAGAGTCAAACGTAAAGATTACGGCATTAGAACAATTCTGTAGCTGTTTAGGTACATATGTCCCCTTCCGTGTCGCATCCGTCTTGAGTCGTAGACCTTCCGATAAACCCAATACCACCATGACAGGAGCATGTCAGGCAAATGGTACTATGTGGGTGAAAGGCTGAGGATTTTAACGTAAGGGTTATATATTTGATGGACAACGAAAGAATACGTCAGTGGCACGGCACAGATACGGCACTATATGTGTAAACTGACCTTTAAATCGGCGTTTTCAAGTTCAAATATCTCTTTTGTTCCTAATCATACCTCACATCAAAACTATATCGTTTAACTGATAATTAATTGAATGTAAATGTGGATAGATATTCAATTTTTTTTTGTTTTTATTATTTTCAAGAATTTTAACAACAATGAAACTGTAAATATTATAAATAGCTTACATATTTAAAGTCATTTATGGGCAACATTATTGTTTGTACAGTTTACGTTCTTTATCTATACTTGCTTCCGGTAAAACGTTGAAATCCGTTTTAAACGCCGTTTCCTCCTGGCAAGTGATTAACTTTGTCCTATTTGTTTTAACCTCATTGTATATTTTAACGAATGTGATGGATTGGCTATACACTATAAAATATTATAATAAGTATAAATTAATTAACTGTCACTTTAATAAAGAATCTGTATTCTGAGTTTACCGTAAATACCGCTTGCAAAAGTGTAAATGTATGGGTTAATATTGTAGTTAGATAAGCATCTTTCAATGATGAGGGTGCCCGTATAACTTTAGCCTACCAAGAAATTAAAATAAATAAAAAAGAGCAGAATTTCATGTTAAAGTTTACACGTCGATTAATTGAGTCTAATTAAAGTTTAAGTATTCGCGAAAAGGGCTGTAAAGGCCAGAATATGTACAGAAAGAAATTTGCGACTTGCTTCTTTATAATTTTTATTTGAACAAAATTTATTAAATAGTCGAAAAATTAATATACGTAATCCTTTAACTATTTTTCACTTCTTTTTTTCAGAAATAAGTGCTGTAATGTATGGGCCACATTCTTTTAGTCAACTTGCCCCCACCGTTTATACCCCTTACGTGTGGTCTCATCTGCCAAATCTTATATTTCCTTACCCAACCCCTGACAAACCTGTTAAATCGTACAATTCGTCCCATGTTACTCGTATAGATCCAAACTGCAAAACCAGGAAAGAAAAGAATGGTAAATTTTTCTTTTATTATCGTTAATTAAAATAAGAAAATACAAATGAATTTAAACAACGTTTTTTTAGCTTTACTTCGAGTTATTCAATTAAATTTGGTAATGGGGAGTTTCCAAAAGTGCTAATAAAGACAATTAAACGTTTTTTAAGTTCAACACTTGTTTTCTGGGTTGGTTCAGTTTGATAGGTCTACATAACTAATCGTAAAAAAGACCTAATCAAACAACGAATTCAGCAAGTAAATTGATCGGTGTTCTGTCGAAATAATCTATGGCGTGCTGATGAGATCTAAAGATATCAAATTCATAATCCATCGAGAGATCACTGACCAAAAACTTTTGTGTTGACTTATTTTATTATTTAACAATATCTTCCGTTTAAAACGTTGAGATTGTGGAAAAACTTTGATGTTATTCTTACAGCTGATGACATGCCTCTGAACTTATCGTTAAAAGGGCGAACGAGATCGCACAGCATTTGGTCACCTGGAAGTTTATGTGAACAAGAAGTGAACTCGAAATCGGATGTGAATCTGTGTACGAACGTTAACGGTAATAGTTTAATTACGACTAGTGTAGATATAATAAACTTAAGTAAATGTGACAATAAAAGAAACTGTAACGTGAACATTAATGAAGTTAGAAGAAGGTGGAATTCCCCCGAACAAGCGAACAATTCTACAACCCAAATAGGACCTGTTGGAGAAAAAACATTCACTGTGAGTAAAACATATTTTTCTTATCTTTCATGTATTAATCAACCAAAAGTGATAGTAATATCGTTACCACATGTCTAACTATAATAAATCATAAAAAAAATAATTTAAGTAGTTACTACAAGTTCCTATTTTTGCGTAACAGTACAGTATGGGGGTAAATAAATCTGAAATGATGATCTATTGTTATTGATTAATAAGGATTTAGTATTTTAAAATCAAAAAAGTTTTAATTGACATTTTGGTTCGAATATTGTAGTATCAATACTAGTTTATGATATTTTATTACTATTAAAAGTATTGTTATAAGTAGGTAAGTCAGTTGTTATGTGTATCGATTATTCGATTGAATTATTGAATAGATTAAAACTCTAAACGTAGATTGAAGAAAATCACAAGCATATTGAAGGAGATGGTTTACTTTATCTTGTAGAATTTTCCTTATATAGAGCACTACAAGTCGAAGGAAACTTATTGTAATTTAAACATTGTCGGAGCATATTTAGTGCTTGAATAAATAATTCAGAAGCATGTAATTTGTGAAGTATTCTAACTGGCAGTAATCAAACGGCTACCTTTTCATCTGATGCAGATTTAATGGGCTAAAACTTCAGTCGCTTTCTTATAATTTATGTGAAAAACTTCAAATGACCGTCATTAGTTGAAAACACGACAAGTTTCAGATTTATTAAAATATTATAAGACATGCTACTTACCTGGGGTCTTCTAATGGTAATTCGAATTACTAATAAACAGCGAAAGTTAGAAAAGGAACGAATACGAAACACTTTCATCATTGCTAATGAAAAATACACCTAAATTATTCAACTACTAAATTAATTATACCTAATACTAGAGCAAAAAATATATATCGTCTGGTATTTTCAAATTACAATTAAGTATACAAAAATATGCGACTGTGGATTGATTATTTTATTTTTATTCTTGCAAATGTAAAAGCTTACATGAAATAAATGATATACAATAGAATCCGCTTATAATAACATCAAAGGGAAATGACAAACACGTCATACAAACCATAGTCTTAGAAAAAATAGCTTTCTATTTTGATTAATTATTTAGTTTAATAGAGAGAAAAACTTCAAATTGAATATATTTATTAACAGAAAATGAAAAAGAACGATGAATTGTAATATCAATATACATGAGAAGGGTAAGAAAAATGAGCGAAAATGTTATTATTAATCATTTGGGTCACAATAGCCGGATATGATTTCTTGAGAATCAGTTATTATAAACGGTATGCCATTTTAAATGGAGTCATTATATCCAAACTTTCCTATAGAGAATTTAATATGAAAACCAAACTTAACATTGCAATTACTTCATATTAAGCGGTTAGTCAATACAGGCGGAGTCATTATAAAAGAATTCCACTGTACAAACAGTATTACCGAAAACTTTGCAAAGATCTAAACGTTATTTTCAGATAAAGAAAAATAAATAAAAAAGTATCTATTCATCATTACGATTTACCATGATTATATTTTTTTATTGTATTTAATTATTATAAGTATATAATTATTTTATTTGTCAATTAAACGATCCACAAATTATGTTATGAAGAAATTTCGTTTATATCGTGAAAGAAAGTTTTGTTTTCAGTGTCAGCAATGTGGAAAAACATTTAAAAGATCCTCAACCTTATCTACGCATTTATTAATACATTCAGACACGCGACCATACCCTTGTCAGTTTTGCGGGAAGAGATTCCATCAGAAGTCCGACATGAAGAAACATACGTACATACATACCGGTAAGTTATCACAATTTTATAACTAGAACCACAAAGAGGGATTGGTATTTTCAAAACCTCTTAATTAATGAACACTATTATTCCAAGTCAAGACGATGTAGATTCATTATATTATCCCTAGCGAGACTCACGAATTATTTCTTTAAACAAAATAGTCAAAAATTTCACTTTTCAGTTAATGATTGCAGAAAAACGGAAAAAGATTGAATTGTACTTCAAGTCAATTTTCAGTATCCAGGATGTTTTGTTAATCAAAATCATTGATTAAAAATAGTCAGTTTCGAATTGTTATTGGTATTAAACAATTGGAAGAAAGTGGACGGGCTTAAATGTCTATATTCGGGTGTATAACTGGCTGCATATAAATACATTGTAATGACAAGCGTCAAAATTTGGACAGACTTAACTAGTAATATTCTATTGCTTCACTTTATCGTTCACCTTTACACACATACATCGTCACCAATTATTATTTCTGCATTAACCATTCAAAATTACATCCTTGCATAAACGGTAATTACACCGCCCTGTATATGCAATTAAACAAAATTTATAATGACCACTTTCACGTATGAATGTGTACATATGTTCGTGTACAGTCGGTATCCACACATCCATCCAACCAGTCAGTTGTCGTTGAGGTCGTCGTTGATGGGCAAAAAAAAAAGGCTGCCGTGTGTGATTCATAAATCTCTGATGGTCATCTTTAATCAGCTATCTGACGCTCCTCGCATACAACCACCCATCTACACGAACATACGTATGTACGTACGGTCAATAATTGATTTCGAAAAGGGGTGGTTTACTGCGATATGTGTACACGGCAATACTAATGGACAACCGGACCGATATTGCGTGTGTTTGTTAAACACACGCTGGACCGGAAACAAATATGTGTCACGCAATTTTTATATCATCGGATCTAAAATTATAATTATCGCAAAGTGCCCACAGGATTGGATTCGTGGTCGCATGGATTTGAATCATCCTGATGCTCAAAGTAGTGAAAGAGCCATCTGGATTCGTATTGTTGATCGATAATTATAAAAAGAGACGTTAAGTTATTGGTAAGCAATTAATCGAAAACTATTGCGATTTTAAACTTTTAAATTCATTGATATCGATGTTAATTGATCGAAGCTATCGATTTCGATAAATTGCTGATCTACAACATAATATTCCTTACTTATTTGGTTCGAGTGGTTATCGCGTAGACAACCTCTAGGTTTATTGATTGAAATAAACCGTCATAGTTTCTTTTCCTCACTAGATATTTAGAAGTTATGTTGGTTTCAAATGCTGACTTCCTCAGTTACTGATATGAATTCCGTTTATTAATCTCTTGAAGCTGCTAGCAGTCGAGACTGGCGAAACGTCTAGATGTCCATTATGTGTTGGATTGCAGTTTATAGATGATTGAAACGAAGCTTTCTGGACTGAAATGCCATCATTCCTTGAGTATCTAGACGTTTCGCCAGTCTCGACAGCCGCTTCTTAATGTTGATGTTTGACTGATTGAAACTACCTATCTCGATAAATTGCCGATCAACAGCTAAATATTCTTTATCTGTTTGGTTTGAGTTCTTATCACGTGCACAAATTGCTTCCTAGATAGTTGATTGAGGTGCACTTTCTGGTATGAATTATAGTGGTTTATTTTCTCTGCTAGATATTTAGGCGTTTCGCCAGTTTTGATTGTTGACATCCCTACTGGCTGATGCCAGATCTGTTTGCTAAGATTGACAGTCATCAACTAATAACTTATTAACTTGAATAATTGACGATATTCTGTCTGTTCTTGATATTGATGTTGATTGAGTGCCTATTGCGTCTCCAAATTGTGCTTTAGGCAGTTGATTAAAGTTCAACTGGGAAAGCTTGAGAAAGCTTTAGATACCACCTTATTGTTTCTGCTAATTTGATGACAAATTGTTATAACATGGTAGAGTTTCTATATTTTTTTAATATGTCTCACTTTAAAGCAGTCAAGTAAAATTGTGTTTCGCTCTGGAGCATGCAGGACATCTTTTTTATTCTTGATGTTACTGTGTTACATGTACCTGTAATGATACAGTTGTATCTTTATTAGACCTTAGGACATTTGTTCATGTAAACATCCTCTACTGGGTACGTGTCTCATCAGATTAATTAATAATTTTCAGAAGTAGAATATAGAAAGTAAAGCTACTGATTACGTACCTGCTAAGTATATCCAGTAATAATTAATTTATTGAAGGAATACATGAAATCTGAACGTTCAAAAAAATCGTTTAGAGCCTCCATTACGAAAAGGACATAATGATAATGATGATGACTTGGAATAATAATGGTTTGTAAAATAAATTGCGTCCATCTATCTATAAAGGTGTAATTAATTAAGTACGATTATATCTGATGCCGTTCTTTTTTATTTTCTTTTTGTAATACCGGTCTCGTTGGTTCACATGATGATGACGTGTCAACCTTAATAAAGTGGCTTTCATTTTCATTACCTACTGATGTTTTTTTTAGCTAATATTCCTTTGTAGTGCTAAATAATGATATCTCCATTTAGATTTACCATAGGTTACTTTTTATTTGATTAAAAAATATAGGAATCAATGGGAATGTGGTAGAATTTTCACTGAGAGGTTTCTATTCGTTTTTTTTTTGCGTTTATTAGAACTATGTTCAGTTTAGAATTCTTGATTAATTTCTGTTTGTATGAAATGAAAGAAAAATTGAATTATTAATTTGTAACAGTAAGCTCTATTTGGTTATTTACAACTTTTACATTAACTATCACTTTATAATGTTTAAGCTATGGTTTTGGAAGATATCAGTATAATTGATTTATTTTTCATATTGCATTCATGTTGTTTAGTTGTTACATTCACTGTGCGACTACTTTGTCCAACGTATAATGACTCATACTGTTTAAAATTTCATAGGCACGTTCCGTTTTTGTGTAATCATCATAAAACTATAACGTTTTTACTAACTGAAATGAATTTAATATTTGTTTTTAAATTGGTTTTCTAATCTATTTTAACTGATTAAGTAATTAAGAATAGTAAGAAGGATTAATACCACACAGGAAAACCGATAGTGTCCTTCCTTTCTTGAAAATAAAAATCTTTTCCAGGTGAAAAACCTCACAAATGCGTGGTTTGTGCTAAGGCGTTTAGTCAATCCTCGAATCTCATAACTCATATGCGAAAACATACGGGGTATAAGCCTTTTTCGTGCGGTCTCTGCGACAAAGCGTTTCAAAGGAAAGTGGACTTACGTAGACATCGTGAATCTCAACATCCGTCTGAAGAAGAACCTGTAGCAGCTTTTACAAGACTACACTCGCGTGATCCAAAACTGTTTGAGTTATTACCTCAACAAGAAGATGGCAAACCGGAAGTTAGCAGCAGCAGCGGAGGCAGCTTTTAAGTCTGATTTTGGCCTTTCTTCTAATATACATGCATATTCATAGAGGGTGGATTATAATTGGATCAAAACATTTTTCAATTATAATAGCGTACGTATTGTAACTTTTGTGTTGAAAAGGTTGATTTTGTACTATTTTTAATTGAATTCTACCGTACTTTTTACGCTGGTCTTTCGTATCTTAGACCACTTTTTGTACCTAATGTACAGATATTATTTAGTGAGTAAACTTTAACACGTCAGTTTTAATGTGCAGCTACGTTTTCATGGCGATTTCTTCATAGCGAAAGGTCAATAGGATTGCTTAGGAAAAATCATAAGCTATTTGCGTAAATTGCATATCCTAAGTCCACATTTATGATTTTATGTGCTAGTTGCTTTGTGCCATATTATTGGGTATTATATTTCAAAATACAAACGAAGGAATTTTAAACCTTGATGTTAGTTGGCCGCTAATTCGTTAATTTCTTCTATAACACATTATTTTACTCTCTAGTTTGAGAAAAAATCTACTTTTTGCATAAAAAATAAGTATTGATTCGTGTAATAACATATTGCAAAGAGGACACAAAGTCGTCGTTTCAGCAAATTAGCCATTATAATTAAAAATTATGCCGGTTTATTATCGGACACAGTTGCGTGTAAATTGGTTTTGTCTAGTTGACAGATGACAAAGATACTCATATTTTACTACCGTTTTCATTACTAAACGATAATATCGTAATTACAAGAAAGGTCTTAGTTCGTGCTGACATCGCTTGTGTATGTTAACAAATTAATATTTTTATAGCGCATTGACGCTATTAACAAAAGTCCATTCCTGATAGTAAGATTCATGACAATGGTCAATTAGAAACAATAGCCAGTTGACGAAATTTGTTTTGATAGCACCACAGACATAGGCATATACAGGGACAAGAGGCGTAAAGCCCTCAGGGGAAGATGTTTTGCTTAGGGTTTATTGGTTACACTTCTGCGTCTGGTAGAGTTAAGCCAATAGAGTCTAGGCACCTGCTACCTGACTGTTTTCGCTTGACTGCTTCCTACCCTATTATTCCTATGTCAATGGGAAATTGTGAGGGTTGATGACCTATTTGTTTAATTTGGTTTTATGAAAAAAGCACTTCACGAAATTTATCAACAATTATTTTATAATTTCCCAAAACTGTTTATTATTATATCACATACATCGTATTTGTAGTCATTTGTAAATTTGTAATATTGTGATGTTAGATTTTAATGCTAGGTACTAATTTTATTGTATAAGATGTAAATAATTATATGTTTAATTACCAATTGTACAAATAAAAAGACAAAGATAGAACACGTTACATTTTAACAAAAATTAAAATTTGCATATTTGCACTTACAGCTTAAGTTTGAGTACTTAATAATTTGGATTCTAGCTACGTTTTGGATGAATTTTACAAAACCCTCATGCAGCTAAAGACCAAAGATAGTTTAATGTTGTAGTGATAAGTATTTATTTATTGTTGTATTGAAGTAATTATTATAATAAAATACCTTCAAGTGCCTTTAACTTTAAGCGTCTAGTTAATTGTAAATATTATGCGTATTTAAATGTGTGGTACAACTGTAACGTTTTATTTATTAAAGAAAATTTGTATTGACACCCTGTATATAAACGAAAATTATTAAAATAAAAGTATTTTCTTAATAAGAATTAATATGGTTTGAGACATCGGTCTAGTTATTAGAGCAATATACTCCAAGAATCAGGAGATATTTTCAGATAGAAGTGATTGAAAAATATATTCCACACTTCCATCAGTTTAGGTATAAAAACAAAAAATGTCATCAAAGAAGTTTGTATTTTCCATGTTTGGTGAATGTTTTGCCTTACTTGCAGGGCATGGTTTTAGTTAACAATAAACGGTTTTGGTGAATGCGCCATGCACTTTTCAATTTCTTGGAATTCTCAAAGTATTTTCAATTAGTTAGTGTTGTGAGGAATAATCCTTCAGAGCCTGTACTTTCAACCTCGCGAAGAAATACAAACATACCTAATTTATATTTATTAACATTCAAAACTTTACGTTATTGTTTTTTATAACGTTTTAGGTGCAATAATAACTTAATATCCACAAACCTTAAGTTATAGTGAAGATAATCAGAAGTAATAAACGAAGTTGTTAATTTAAATGTGACCTATTAGCGTGAAGTTAAAATTGAACCAAATGAGTCAGTGTAAGTATTTTACAAATTAATAAAAGTTCATAAAAACCTTCCATGAAATTTTGCAACTGGAGGAGACAACGACCAGGATATTTCAGTGGTATGTATAAAGTCCTTATTTTTAAATTTTAACTGAACCATATTTTTTATTTACTAACTCAAGTAAGCATCACTAATGTGATGAAAAATTAAACGATAGAAGCTAATCCTTGATCTTTACAGTTTCACAGCGAAAGGACCAGTCAGTCTGTCTGTCAGTCCGTGAATCGGTGAGTCAGTCAGTAAGTTAGGGCAGTCAGTGGTAGTGAAACTTACCTATAAATTCCTTCATGATGGCACGGCACGAGCCAAAGCTGCAGGTGCACTCCTTTTTCATCGCTTATACTACGGCGTTCCTTCATGTTGAGTACGAAATCTGCTCGGTCCCGTTGTACAGGCAGATGTACATTAATTTATGTTGTACATTTATATATGTGTGTACTACACCCCACTTATGTACAGTTACAATCAGAAATATAGCGACCCAAACTAACGGTGCATCATTGCCAAAATTAGACACTAATCACCTGCTACAAAGGACAAAAGCTTCTTTTCTGCAGTTCTATAAATTGAAACGCAAGATTCATGTACGCTAATTATTTTATTTATATCATTAGGTATTAGTTAATTGACTTCTTAGCATTTACAAGTAATTGAGACGTATTTTTTAAATAAGTGTATAAAATGAAATACAATGTGAAACCTGTTGGATATTAAGGCAAAAAATTACTATCCTTTTCCCAGAAGTTAAAATTGAAATCAAGGGATTTAGTCATAAGTCATAAGTGTTTTTATTTCTAGATGGTTTTGATGATGACTTTATATTTGTTATGTCCCAACTGACCCCCAGGAGTTCGTCCAAGTATTGATGATAAAATAACGTATAAATGTAACAGAACATTCTTGAATAACTAAAAACTTTTCAGCTACTGCTGTGTTTGCTCTTTCGAAAGCTTATTTATAATTTATTTAAGGAAAAGTTTATTTTAATTCCAGAAAAGTATGTATGTCCCTCCAATAATAATAGTAACTGAAATACGTAAGAAAAAACTAGAATCAATGCTTGCACTTGTTCTTTTCATTCGAAATTAATGTTATTAGTCGTCCACTTTATCATTACATCTTCTCGTGGACGTGCAACATAGAGTGGACATGATGATTAATAGTTTTCATATAAAAAACACCACAAAAGGATATTGTACTGCTCATAATAAATTAATATCTATCAATAGGCTCTAAGTATAAGATGTGACAGGTACTCAGTATTGACAGTAATTTTTTTACACTTATTAATTTCATTCCGCGCACGTTGCACTTTGTAAGAATCGTGTCAGTTGGTGATTTCTAGTTCTCATGTAATTCAATTTCAATGTACCTATAAGTTGTTGTCAATAATCAGATAAACCATATAAAACGATTTTGACGGAATCGCATTCCATTTTTTTTTGTATTTAAGTATAAAATTCGTGATAGGAATTGTTATATATATATATATAGGTAATTCGAAT